TAACAGTAATAATTATTAATATAACAACACTTGTACTATTAGTCGGAGACGACGTCAACGGCGCGAAATGCGCAAGAAATGCGTTAAGGGTGGGGTAGGGATTCCCCTGCGTGTAGAGCAAACGGAATGCAGACTCCGGAGGAAAGGTGTGACGCATCGCTCTACACTGTCAGTGACATACGGCAAAGCACAATACTTAACAAAGACATGGAGTCGTGATAATAATTAATGGTAGGTATCAGAGATCGTGTATAAATTGCATATCACATCACGGTCAGGGGGTGAACGAACTAAGTGGAAAATGCCACTGGATATACGTTTCGAGTTGACCGTCTCATTGATGTGGGGCCCGAAGTTTAATTGGATGCCGAACACTGGCTTCTTTCCAGTCTCATGATGAATCCGAACATCATGGCCGTCATCGAACACAGGCTCCGAAGAGCAGCTCGTCGCCGCTCAGTGCCTCGAGGGCCGCGGCCTCCGCGTGCTCAGGATAAACGTGCCGCCGGGGCCGGGGGGCGGCGAGATGAGAGTCTCGGGGGCGGCGGGGCTGGCGGAGCGGCCCAGCCAGCACAGTCGGGCAGGGGTGGGTGTGCTGGGGGCGGTGTGCGAGGCGGCCGAGGCTGGGCTCAGCGCCGCAGCCAGCACCGAGGACGAGCGGGGCGGTGACGCCTGCAGACTCTGCAACAGAAACACACGGAGATGAGGTACTCGACCCCCCCGAGAGTAAGCGAGCGAACATCATGAGGGTGTCCTGTCAGAAGTATCTTTGTTTGCTGCACACGGTCGTAAATGTGAGTGTGTATGTGTGTGAAAAGAGAGGGGGGGGGGGAAGTCAGAGATACGAGGCAGCAGGCGTTTGACGGGGCAAGGCCTGGCGGGGAAGAGCGCGGCGGGGCATGGCGCCGCCGAGTCAAGCAAAGCGCTGTGTCGCCCTCTCGATGCAGATATTGATACACATTGTGCACGTGCAACTGTACTGATACGCGGCAAAGTCAACGCCGCGCCCCAAAGCTTTCAAACTCGGGCTTTTGATGGTGCCCCAAGAGTTGTGCGCGGCGGGTGTATGTGAGCGGTGAACCCACGGTGTTTCGGTCCCCCCGGTGCTGGCCGATATGGGCGCCTGGCGCGCTCTGGTACGCCCCTCACGGCCTCGCCGCCGGCCCCGCCCCCAGCCCTCCAGGGCCTCCCGTCGCGCTCATGCTGACGCCTTGCTTTAGAAAGCGGTAGCGGTAGCTTCACCTCGCTCGCGACGCGACGACGCGACGCCCAGGCCCGCTACGCCGCGCCACTCCCCACCAGCCACTGCGGCCATACTTATCGCAAAGGCGCGAAACGTCGGGAAGGGTAAATACACCGCTGCGCCGTCCCCCCTCCCCCCTATCCGCACTCAAAAGGGGTGAAGTAAGTGTACCCGGCACGCCCTTTCTAGCCCCTCTCCCCCTCGCAGTGCGTGTGTGTGTCTGTGGGAGTGAGAGGGGGGGGGGGGTAGGATCCTTGGGCGGAATCGAGCCCGGATGGGTGCGCTCCACTGGGTAGGCAACCATCTCTACGCCGGTGTCCGCCGCGTGCCTATGCCACCGCCTGCGCGCCACTGGGTAGGCAACCATCTCCACGCCGGTGTCGGCCGCGTGCCTATGCCACCGCCTGCGCGCCACTGGGTAGGCAACCATCTGCCGCGTGCCTATGCCACCGCCTGCGCGCCACTGGGTAGGCAACCATCTCCACGCCGGTGTCCGCCGCGTGCCTATGCCACCGCCTGCGCTCCACTGGGTAGGCAACCATCTCCGCGTCGGTGAGCACCGCGTGCCTATGCTCCTGGCTCTCGCCCATGGGATACGTACCCAGAAGCCCGAGTCGCAGAGGTCGGCGTGGTCACTGTAGTCCCAGGGCCCCGGGGCGACCGCGTCCGGGGAGGCGGCGCGTTGGCGTCGGTGGTAGGGGAGGTGGACACCGTGGTGCTGGTCAAGCCGCGGCGGCCTCCCCACGACGCCCCTGCTGCTGCCGCCGCTGCTGCTGCCGCAGCTACTCGCCCGGCTTACCCGGCCGTGGCCGTGGAGGGCGTGGCCATGGACCCCTGGGCCACGCGGTGGCGTCACCAGCGACCTGCAAATCACCATTTGGTGTGAAGTGTGTGCGTAACGCAGCAACCGGGACTCGCCCAAAGGGACGATCGACCCAAAAGCATATGAAACACGTATTGCGAGACGTACGGCTGCTTCTCGTCTTCTTCCAGGGACCCTCGAGGCGCAAGTGGGCCCCGCCTAGACACCACCCCTGAAACTCGAAATAGAAATAGGATAAGGCAAATGTTAAGTGTGACACCCAGACGGCAAAAGATGGCGACCAAAAGAGAGGTCCACCGACCATCGATGTTTGCTTCGGTCGACAGAGAGGATGAGATGTCGGCTAGGCAGCGAGCTGATTCATCATACTGCTCCTGCAACTGTAGGTGGATGATTAAACTTATTGTCCATTACTTTGGGTTCCTGCAGAATGCAGTGTGGCGCGGCGCGACCAGCGCGCGCATACCTGCAAGGCGAGCGAGGCGTTGTGGGATCGCAGCTGTTCCAGCTGATCCCGCAGCTGCTGGTTTTCCTCTAGGACCCCCTGCAGTTTGCCCTGCAAAACGAGACAAATTGCATACGATAAGTGGCGCCCAGACAGTGCCATGCCACGACTCCCCTCAACACCTGGGCGAGGCTAATGGCGACGTAGCTGCAAGCATCAGGAGCGATAGCAGTGGTATGTGACTGCATGCGCGCAACCTGACCTGCGGTGACCACAACACGTGCATGCAGTACTGCTCCAGCTTTCGCGCGTACAGTCGCCAGCGGTCGGCGCCTGCCGCAGCCACGCCCGCGCCCAGGTGCCGCAGCTGGCGTAGCTCATCCAGGTATTGGCGCCGCAGCCGCTCCACGTCCAGCTGGCGCAGCTGCGCCTCGAGTTCGAAGCCGCACAACACGCTGAGTGCGAGGCGGCGTGCCTCGGCCTCGCAGCTCCGCAGGCGCAACACCTCCAAGCTGAGCGCGCCGACTTCGTCGCATCTCGCCTGCAGATCCTCGCCGAGGCGGCTGCAGATGCCGGGGCGGTCAGCGTGTGCCGCGCGAGCAAGCGACGGAGGGGAAGCCCCGCTGGACCTCACCTCAGCTGCCGCTCGTCGGCCAGCCGAAGCTGCTGCTCGGCCTCGGCGGCCAGCTCCACCAGTGCACGCACCCCACTCGGCGCGGACCCGCTGACCGTGGCCGAGGTCGTGCAGCTCGTCTGGGTAGACGACTCGTTGGTCTCCGCTATCACGAGCACACCCAGGTCGACGAAAGAGGTCGCGGCGAGGCCAGGCTCAGAAAGACTGAGGGCGTCTTGAGCGTCGCGCACCACAGACTCGATCTCCCTGACGGCCGAGTCGGCCTCGGCGTAGCTTTGTAGGCAGTCCTGGAGGCGCGCGACCTCGGCCTGCAGCTGGGCCACCTTGGCCTCTAGCTCAGCCTCGGCCAGGGTCTGCGCCCCTCTGATCTGGGCCACCGACTGCGACTCAAGGTCGTGCAGCTTGGGCGCCTCGAACAGCTGCTGCACGACGACGGCGCGGCCTCGGCCGAGCTCCGGGGACGTGGAGCGCTCCGAGCCATTGTCGCGCTTGCTGGACGGGTCCGTCTGGTCGGTGTCGGCCTCGTCCGTGGACGCGGGGGTGCAGGCCCGGACGGCCGAGAGCGGGACCACCCGCCGAACAGATCTAGCGACGGCAGGAAACAGGAAAGAGGGTGGGAAGGGGGGCGTGTATGCGGGCGGGGCGACCACGTCTATCAAGGCGGCGACGTCGCGTGGACGCACGGTGACAAGCTGACTCGGCGCGACAGTCAGCTGATCGCGACATAAAAGCAGCACGCGTGCTTTTCATAACAAAGCCGCCGGTGTTTGGACCGCTTAGGCACTGGGCTGGCGCCTGCCCCTGAGACCCTGGTGTCGCGGCGCCGCCAGCACCAAGTGGCGCGGAGGGAACGCCTATCGGCCAGAGATAACCGTATACCCGTTTCCCGGACACGCTCGCTTGACAGGCTGCTTGATTTGGCAGCCCGCCCGCGAAAAAAAAGGAGGAATGGAGAAAAACGACAAAGAGGGGACTGGCAACATAGTGATGAGAAACTGGTAGGGTGACCGGGCGTCTCCGCGCGAGTCATGGTAGTACCTGGAGCCGGTGGTCCTGGTGGGCGCTCGGGCCCGCGAGGTCCTGTTCGACCCGCCGGGCAAGTCGCGGTCGCGGTCTCTCCTCCGCTCACAGGCGCAGGGCGGGGCGGGCGGCGGTGGCGGCGGCTCGCGTAGGTCCACCTCCGGGAGCGGGGACTTCACGAAGCTCCTGGCCAAAGTGGGCATGTCGCGTGTCATTTCAATTGACGCCGACGACACGGGTCAAGACCCCCCCCC